GATAAATTGTTTTCTATGAACACCGAACTTCATATTGAAATGTTAGATAACACTGATGACGCCTAATTACAATCTGAGGCTGCACATATTGGATCATTCTGAAGATAAATTAATCTGCAGCTTCAGAAGAAAATAAAACGATGTTCATGGGGGTGATGGTCACCATAGATTAATCTTCAGCCACCCCAATCATTTGAGGAAACTATGTTTATAATTTCAAATGATTGGGGTGGTCGGTTACATGTATGATGGTGGCCATCTTGGATTTTGGCATGGCAACCAAATTTTCGAAAGGAACATTTCTTATGCCTAGATGTAGCCACACACAAATTTTCAAGTTATTATAATAATAACATCGCATTTTATTTGTTAGCGCCTTTCAAGACACCCAAGGACACTTCACGACATTAGAAACACAAAATAAAACAATACAAAATGGCTATTAAATCACTAAACCAAGAAGAAAATAACAAGAAATTAAAGTGAGAAGGCTAACTTGAACAGATGAGTTGTGATTTGAAGGTCATGCTCACAACGTGCACAAACGGATGGAGGGCATTTCCAATTCTCCCTCTTTGCTTCATGACGGGACAATCTAGCTACGTGTTAAAAATGGAAACTATAACGTAAGGTACCTGCAGAGTTCACACAGTCCTATCAGAGATCCCAAGTTCCTAAGTTGATAATGTGCATCCCATCAAGATGGTGTGGATATTTTTAGTTGGATGCCAAAGTCCACGACATGTCTGCTTCTATAAAACGCCTCACAGAGACACCGTCTCCATATCTCTATCCTAAGCAGATCATTTTTAACACATGCTCAAGCTACTGGAAGGGTTTGATTCCAAGATGTGTCCAGGCTTCGGGAGGAGATGAATGATCCCATAGAGATGCACTTCCTTTTCCTGTCTGCACGCCTGAAGCCATTAGCACAGGCAGTCTGATCTGAACAGAGGAGACTAAATGCTTCCACATAAGATGGACAGCTGCTCTCAAGCTAAACTTAATGTGGGCAGTACTTTTGTCTGATTAAGTACTGATTTTTGTTAGTAGATTACAGATATTTAAAGCAAACGAGTGAAACTATGTATGTTTATGTACATGCAACATATGTACACAATACCTAAGGTAGGCAGAATTATAGGTGAGTGAATGATCATTTTATGTGTGAATAAAACCTAATCCTCTACAAAATAAGGCCAACTACTGTATTTTAGGTAGTTTGAACTAGAGCTCAACTCATATGGAAATTTTGGCTATCACTGATACTGATATGGGGAGGGCTAATGCCAATAACTAAATAAATAAGTTTATTTATTTTTCTTTGCAGATAAGTAAATATTTCAGACAAACAATGAGGATGACAAAGATAATGTTACTAACACTGATATGTATTTACCGCGACATTAGATTTATTAGATTTACAAGGCAATAGCCTATGCTAGGTTATCTAAACTTTAGCCTGCTAACTTGAGAAAGCAGCTAATGACAAGTGGGTTGGAGGATTGAAGAGAATTTATTATTGTTGAGTTGTTTTACAGATCAGTTGAAATAAACTTGCCATGCTCTGTTCAGCACAATACGCTACAGTATTGCTCCCTGCTTCATCTGTGCTGAATGCGACACTTAAAGTGAACGTCCATGACTTGAAGGTAGTCCACGTGCACACTCTCCTGGATACATTGCACGCCTGTTCTAAGTAAGGACACGGCTGGTTCCCAGTGTTTATCAACGCATAATGGGACAATTATCACAGACACCGATATGTCCCAAAAATCCCTATATCAGCCTAAAATATCAACCCTACCAATATATTGGTCGGGCTCTAGTTTAAACGCTGACAAACATTTTAAATTTGTTTCATTTTACTTTACTGACATGATTGAAAGACTGTCAAACCTCCCTTTGTAAGCTACATTTAACTTTGCTTCTAGGTATTGTATCACCTATTGTAAATTTACGGACTATTGAGCGCACCAGAACATAAGCCACACCCACTAAATAAAACAATAAATAAATGTACACATATAGGCTGCACTTGTGTATAAGGCGCAGGTGTCCATGCTGTAACATGAAATATTTACACAGAAAGATTTTTCAAACCTTTAATTAAATATGTGCCGGTAACATACACGAATACGTACAGTAAATGTTTTGTTTCCTGAACAGTGCCTGTAACACGGATGGTTAAAAAACGTACAAAGCACAGTAGCCTACCAGGAAGTTATTGAGGGCTATCTTCTTACAGCGAATCATGAAGAGGATTTTTGACATTGCTCTGCTGTCAGGATCCACTGGCAGGCTTGAGCAAAAGTTGCACTTCGCATGCAGCCAGTTTTGGTAAAAGATTCCTCACCATCAGTCATCCAAGTTGGTAATTTCATTGGTCAATGTTTTTTTTAACCTTTGAAGTCTCATTGAGTCACGAGAACCCACCCCCTAAGAGAGACGTGTATTGTAGGGATGCACGATATTGGATTTTTGGCCGATATGTTAAAAGTTATTTGGCCAGTAACCAATACCGATATTTTATATACGTTCCTTTGTCAGAACATATTCCTCTTATTTAGGCTTATTTGCTACAAAAATTGTGCAACAGTTGTAAGAGCTGGTGACATATATTCGGTAACAGCCATATACATAACACTTTAACTAATATCAAACGAAAAATGTTAAATGTTATTTATTAGCATTATTCACCTGCGATGCTGTCTCACTTGTGGAGACTTGTTTCAGGTTCCTAGCTGCAGTGTGGGATCCTCTGCACTCCTGTGCATGAAGGACAGACTTTTTAAGTTCAGTTTTTGTCTATCCATTGTGTCATAAGACTAAGCATGCTAACGGGGCTAACACGACGTCCAAATGTCGGTGATAAAACTCACCCAACAAGTCGTGCTATCGGCTATTAGCTTCTCAATGACGTCGTAAATGACGGCTGGTAACTCGGGTAACGTTACGTCGGAAAAATATCTCTGACTGGGGACGATGTAGCGAGGAGGCTCGACGTAGTCCATAAATCTTCGGAATCCGACATCCTCACCAACGAAAAATAAAACTTCCACACCGCCGACATTTTGAATTTTCCTCTCCACCGTGAGATCGGGTAGGCGCATGTGACGTCATCGTCATCACGTTGTGCTGCCGCTGCAGGTAGAAACAGCGTCTTTTATATCGGCGAGTTATTTTAATGGAATGGCCAATGTCCGATATTGAACTTTAACACTAATATCGGCTGATACCGATACCATGCCGATAATATCGCGCATCCCTGGTGTATTGAGCAGCTATGTGAGCGCCCGGGTGTGACTAAATGTTCTGGCAGCATGAAGCTTGTTAGCCTGTCCCAAAAAAAAAAAAAAATCCATAAATTAGCCGCAGCCTTGTATAAGCCGCTGTGTTCAAAGTGTATGAAAAAAGTAGTGGCTTATAATCCAGAAATTACAGTAATTACTTTATTTCTGAAAGGTCTTATTTGTGATGGTTCTAAAGCAAGTTCCACAGCTTGTTTGTGGACTTTTGAGACCATTTGGAAACAGTTTCCTCAAGTCATAAAACATCCTAAAACTTTGATTGTTTGAATACAACAACTTGTGCTCCTGCTCCCATCATGAACACTCACCCCTTCCTGATGGAGCAGGGGTCAGGTCTGTGGGTCAAAACTCGTGTGTTACTTTAGTTGGGCGTTTTTGTGTATTTTTCATGATTGGGCTTTCTAGTTATTTTCTCTCCCCCAATCCTAAAATATGTACCCACAAACAGGATGTATCTGTCAGGAGCTGTGATTTTTAGTTAATTGTTTTTTGTAGTCTTTTGTGTTTTTTCATGTTTCTTTCTGTCTGGTTTTCATGTGCATTTTCTGTGTTTTGTTATTTTTGTGGGTTCTCTAAAGTCTTGTTAACTGTTGTATTTTACTGCCTCATTTGTTTTTGTTTGGTGTTTAATAAATCTTTGACTTTTCAAGTTCCACGTGTTCATCTGCATCCCGGGTTCAACTTCTGCTACAAACCGTGACATTAGCAAGTACAAAAATGACTAATTAAGTGATTTAAATTGAATGCCAAGTGTTTTTTAAGAATAAAGAGAATCTACTAAAAATAAAAGCTTTTTGATAAACCAATTTCTTTATCTCTATGACTCACATCTGACTCAAATCTTCTTTTGCACCTTTATTGAAAGAGACTTGGTGAACAAAGTAATGTTTCATGACATCAAATGGAAATAATTATGGATTTGAGAGCAAAATACTTAAAAATAAAAACTTAATTTCTATAAACAAGCTTTACTCTAATGTTTATCTTGTCCAAGTCAGTGCAGAGTGATGGATCCTGGAGTGGAGGGAGCGGTTTAATCCACAGTGGATCAGGCCTGGCTTATAATTAGAAATTATTTCAGAATCACAACTAAACAACAGAGAATTTCATAAACATTCAGGATAGATTTATGCTGAAAATGTCCCATTAAATTCAATTTAACACTGATCCATTATTATAATGGATCATCATGCCTGGAGTAATAATCAAGGAGCTGGTTGTAACACGAGAGTCCTTTATGTTCATATCATAACCATCTTATAATTTTGAGGAAAAATCTTGCTTTCTCAATGTAAGGAGTTAAAATTAGCATGTCTCAAGATGATATAATAGTAAACTTATCTTGAAAAAAATAAACCCAGGTAAGGCCATTAAGTTTGTAATTTTTATATTTTTATGAGCTACAACACTTTAAAAAAAAACCAACCCGACAGACAATTTCTTTGGTAACGTATTAAAAACAGCAAATATACAAATGAGATATAACACTTTAGGAGATGTTAAAATCTGCAGAGCATGCAGAAAAAAAATGATATAATTTCAAACTAAGAGCATATTATACAAGTTGTATATGTTCAGGCTGGGTTGATCAGTAGAAACAACAACAGCTGTGTTTTCGGGACTATTTTAAAGTATTTGGCACAACCTGGCAACCCAAAGCTGCTGGCTCCAGTGAAGCCTTGAACTCACCATGTTAACTTCAGACACCATGTCTATACTGGCCACGTCTAGACTCATTCCAACAGCAACTGGTGGACCTTCAAATTCAATAAAAAGTTATAATAAAAGAAGAAGAGTTAGAAAAACAACAAAGGAACATCTGTTGCAGACTTCAGGGGAGAGCTGCTGATAAATTACCTCCAAAGTCCGGCCGCAGACGGATGTCGTATCCTTTTAACAGTTTGTCCACTGTCTCTTTGACGAAAGACATGTTCCCCGGCTCGTTGACGCTGAAGGAGAGAAGACAACAGGCTGTGAGTCCTGCAGGCAGAGACACCGTGTCCGCCGTGGACTCACCTCTGGGCGCAGCACATCACCACGACCAGCGGCACACAAACAACATCAAAGAGCTGAGCGCGCGCGCGTCTCCACATCACTTTTTACCGTCCAGGATTTAAAATGTAGACGCGACTGCTAAAGGAAAGTTAACATCCTGACGTGCTGACGCGCGTGAGCTCGTCTGTGGGACGTGTCGGGACGTTCCCTCCACCCGGAGCAGCGGCTGCTCCACCCGAGGTCCCACAGATGGAAACTGACGCGAGGCTCTCGGTGGATTGGAGGTCACGTGACTCTGCACCTCTACGGCAGCCATTTATCTGTGCGCTATGGCAAGCCCTTTTAACATAAAAATGTTAAAAGGGCTTGCCTTAGTGCGCTGGTGTTTGGACTCTCGGGTCTTAAAGGAATTTAAATGAAAACGCAGAGGCGTGCTGAAGGGTGGGCTAACAGGGGGTCCTGCCCATTCTGAACCCTGATCTGATTATCATGATGTGTTCTCTTTTATTTCTAATGTGGCACGGTGTCACCTTGGTGCTGTTGCCGCTTAGCTAGAAGGTTGCTGGTTCAAACCCTGCCGTGTTGTAATGTAACAGAGTAGAAATACTTTGTTACTGTACTTAAGTAGAATTTTGACGTATCTTTACTTTACTTCGTTATTCACATTTGTAGCGACTTTCACTTTTACTCTACTACATTTTCTCAATAAAACGTGTACTTTTACTTCAATGCATTGCCCTTAACCATCTTAGTTACTCGTTCCTACAATATAAAATTAGAAGAAATCTGATTGGGCGATGCCTGTTTGTTCTCCCAGTCTGTGACTTCATGCGGCCCCTTCTCTCTCCCTCACTGACACTCTCACTCACGAACCCAACCTCTCCCCCACCGCTTGTGTGAAAACTGCGGTTCCTGCTGTGAACAAGCTAAATGCATATGAAGATATCAATTGTTACAATAGAGCTTTGTTGACTCACAGTGGAGCTGCTGTAAATTCCTGATAGGTGCGAAAATGATGGTACCTACTAAAAAGTAGAGGTTTGGTGTTCTCCAGGACATTAACTGCTTTAGAGCAGCAAGGTATGAAGTTGTTGGGCCACTAGTCTTCCCATTATAGAACACGGAGACAGATATCCAGTTTAGGGGGATTTATTTGCAGTGTTTCTTCTGGTATTACATACAGCAGTAAACGGTAAAGCACAAACAAGCTTGAACAACAAGGCTGCATCATTGTCAGGAGCGAAAAAACAAACAAACATCTGAGCTCTGCACTTTCCACAGAGCGGAGCGGTGCGTTCACTAGTGTTGGAACAGCCACGGTGCATTCAAGAGCATAGGAACTATTACATTCAGAAAGAAACAAGCCATAACCAAACAGAACCGAGCTCAGTAAACAAGCCAACTACCCAACAATGTGGGCGTTCTAACAGCTTTGTTAATAAAAGTTGAATACTTCATTAGAAACAGGCTTTTTAAAGAAGAATCTTTCATTGTTCAGTTCAAACTTTCCAAGTTTTGTCATTGGATATTGCACCCAATAAATGTTGTTTTGGAAATTCTAACCATTTACTTTTACTTAATACTCTTACTTTAAGTATATTTTATATGAGAAATTTACTTTTGATACTTGAGTACATTAAATGTCAGATACCGTAATTTCCGGACTATAAGCCGCTACTTTTTTCACACACTTTGAACACCGCGCTTTTACAATGCTGCGGCTAATTTATGGTTGTTGTTTTTTTTGATGGGCTAACGAGCTTCATGCCACCAAAATGTTTAGCTTCGTCACACCCAGGCGCTCACATCGCTGCCCAATACACATCTCTCTTGAGGGGTAGTGTTCAATGACTTCCTGGTAGACTACTGTATTTTTTTTATTTTTTTTTATCAGCCGTGTTACAGGCACTGTTCAGAAAAACAAAACATTTACTGTATTTTGTGTGTGTTACTGGTACGTATTTAATTAAAGTAGAAAAATATATATTTCTGTGTGAATATCTCATGTTACAACGTGAACACCCGCAGCTTATAGCCAAGTGCACTCAATAGTCCAGAAATTACAGTACTTTAAGACTTTTACTCAAGTAATAATTTTAAAGGAGACTTTAACTTTTACCAAAGTAATTTTATGGTAAGATACTTGTACTTTCACTGAAGTATCACTTTGAGGTACTTTATACAACACTGAAACCCTGGCCAGCGACCTATCTGGGTGGAGTTTGTATGTTCTCTCCGTACATGCGTGGGTTTTCTCTGCGGCTGCGGTTTTCTCCCACAAACCAAAAACATGTTAGGCTGATTGGTGTCCCCCGCCTCTCGCACAGTGACTACTGGATTGGGCACCAGTGACCCCCACAACCCGAAAAGGAAGAAGCGGGTAAAAGATAATGGATGGATGAGTACTAAAAGTGTCTTTAGAATCCAAATTTTAAAAAGTGTCTCAGGTGCTGTACTGGGTTGTGACTATTAGAGTTAGAGATGAAGACTTGCAGAATTTTTAAAAATCTTCATGCTTTTTCATACATTTGCATAAATCCTCTATAAAATAAAGCCAAAATAAAATAAAATATTCACCTGTCCCACCCAGTCATATTGTTGTTGCCCCATTAGACTGAAAATATAACACAATATAAATACAATCACATACTTTAAATTATAACTAATTTCAGAAAAAAAACATTAACTTTTGTGTTTGTTTACTTTAAAGGAGGAAGTTCAGTGCTGGAAATCTACCAATAAGATGTTCCTTCATTCATTGTAGAAATCAAGAATAATTTGTTCCTGCAACATTTTCCTTGGAGCGCTCCTCAGTGTTTAATACAGCTATCAGCCCCTCGTTAGTTGTTTGTTGGGAGTGTCCAGAGAGTTTTTTCTTACCTGGTATCATAAATGGCATAGAGCTTTTTATTCCCATCAACAGCATTCCTGTCAAAACAAAAAAAGGCAAGCATTAATTGAAGGTGGAACAGTGCTGACTTATTTCAGTAAGATTTATTCTGCAGCTAGTTTCAGTGCACACTGTCAAACATCACAGATTGCATCAGAAATCAAAACCATTCTTGAGTCTCACAATTCATTCGTTCATTCACAACTCAATTGATCCCCAGTACAGAAGCAACTTTACCTTAATCGCAGAGAGAAAATCAGAGAAGTAGTACAGCACTGCACAATATATCAAAAATGTGTTGTCACTGAAATATTAGTGAGCATTAAATCAATATTGCAAAGCCTGGCCTGCAATAAATCATACATCACTATATTTCAAGTGCTATGCATTTATGTTCTGCATGCTAATGAAATATTTGGACAATCCAACCGACTCTCACTGGCCTTGATGCCCACTCCTGGTTTAGATGATGACGGAAGACAAAGTGAGGACAACATGGGCCTATTGATGTTGTCATCACAATATTAAAGATGTAAAGTGTGTGCAGAGCTGTTTGCGTTGCATGTGAATTGTTTTGCGTGCAATTCTTCATTCGGCTGTTCCCTTTTCTGGTGAGTCATCTTAGTCCATCTTACTCTGTCCTCTACATCCACTGAACTCTGTATCTGTGTCCACACGTCTCATCTTTGGCTTTCATCTGCGTCGTTTGGTGCTGCTGCAGGACGCATGCACCACATTTCCGCTTCTTGCAATTGGGATCCCTAGCAGCAAAATCAAGACTGTGTGCTACTTAACTTAGACTTTACAGTAATGAATTGATTCAGTTCAGTTTATTTATGGAGCAACAAGTCACATCAGAAGTTGTCTCAGCCCACGGAACAGAAATATTCATATATAAAAATAATTGTTTAAGACTTTATCTGAGGAGCAGACTGCTTTGAGTTTAACTCCATCACAGAACTCTCATCTCATCAATTAAGGAGTTATTATAGATTTTTCGTAAATTATGTCATAATAATTGATGATTATTAACCGCATTGTGTCAGGAAAGACATCCGACATAAAAAAACAAAAAAAAAAACAATGCCAAGTCTTTCTGTGATTTAGTTCACTGTGGTGGCCTCTGGAGAAGGGAAGAGCTGAAAGGAAGAAAAATGTCTTAATGATTGAGGCTTAACTTTTCTAACTTCTATTAGTCTGTATTACTGTAGATGGATGGATGGATGGATGGATGGATGGATGGATGGATGGATGGATGGATGGATGGATGGATGGATGGATGGATGGATGGATGGATGGATGGATGGATGGATAGATG